CAGTAGAAGCAGCTCCACACCTGCATTACCACTTGTCCCTAGGCAGTAAGTTTTGTCAATAGTCCAAGTTCATTAGTCAAAATGAAAGCCTACAAATTAAAAGGATATTTCATTATTAGAAGCACTTTCTCATTCTTCTGTCAATACAATTGCACAACTATGTCAAACTGTGTGCATGTTATGTGTGTGTACATACATATACACACATCTGCATACATACACCAAGAAAATCCGATTTGCCCCTCCTAGACCTTCATTTCCACATTATTTCACTGTTACTAATTAGCAGTTAGCCTTCACTGTTTGAGGCCAAACAGGATGCTACAGAGCAAAGACATGAGGAAGGTGATATAGACAGGTAGCCAGGTCACACCCCAATATATTGATTTAGCCTACAGGAGCAATTCCTGTCTCTTTAGGTCATCTGCTTACACAAAATGTGGCTATTTATTGCATGGATCACAGCAGAAGAGGGTCTCCAGAGAAGGGACAAAGTATACAGCAGTGATCTCAAGTGTATTTCAGGTAATGGAGGTAACAAGAAGCATGAGGGAAAAGTATGTATGCCTTTGTCAGAACTGGATGAGCTAGTGACAGTGAATGGCTCATTTAACAGGGCAAAAAAAGAACAGAATTTGAAAAGAATAAGCTGCCTGTGAGAGATGAGCACAAGGAAACTTGAAAGTCAAGCAACCCAGGCCCTTGAACAGGTAACCACTGAAAATGAGAAAGGAACAGATCAACAGTATTTTCAAAACAGTGAGATGAAGCAAAGTGAAAGAAATGTCAGAAGTATTAGAGAAAAAAAAAAAAAAAAAAAGTAAGTCTAATTTAAAATTTCTGTTGATTTGAACAAAGAGCAGGGAGATAGGAAAAGCACCTGGTAATTCAGATTACAGGCTTATGAATAGTGCTCTCAGTAGCGCCAGAAAAAAAGGAAAATAAGAAATCAGTTTGCTTTTGTTAGCCAGCAGGAATAACACACACAAGAGGTATATTCATCATATTTATGCTGAGAACTCAGCTACAGGAAGCAGCGGGGAAGAAGACAGAAGAAAAGGAAGACAAACACCACCAAAAAATAACAAAGAATTCCACCAACTAAGATGTCAAATGAGCAGGAAGAGATGAAAACCAAAAGAAGAACAAAACCCCCAAAACATGGAAGCACCAGGGAAGCCAATTCAGTACAAGCCTGTATCAACTCTGCTAAAAATAGTCAGAAGTTATCAAGGTAAGACAGAAGCACTGGTTAAGATAATTCTGGTGAAGATAATTCATTTGTTCATCTCAAGTCATCTTCAGAAGTTGATTTCTGTACGAAACAGTATCAGCAGGTTGAGGAAAGCATTCTTCTATATCAACTACATATAAAGGAAGCAGTATTTTTCTCAGTGCAAGTGGTTACGTACCAGAACAGGTGCCAAGAAAGGCTGCAAATTCTCCATCCCTAGAAATACTCAAAACCAGTCTGAACAAGACCTTGAGTAACCTGATCTCACTTTGGAATCAGCACTGCTTTGAGTGGGGGCTTGGATTAGAGGGCCCAATTTAGGCTGTGATGGTTATTTTAAAGCCATTGACATCCAGTTTGAAATGGGAAAGCAATTTATTTTCTTCAGTGGCTTTCCAACACCAAAGTATCAGCACGCAGCCCCTCCAAAAGTAATCATCGTGTGTTGCCTTGGCAGTGCCAACATAAACCAACAGGTTTTTATTTTTTCCTAGGGACCATTAAACTAGAAATTTTCCATAAAATGGTCACTTGTCTGAGTCACAATTTCTTCTGAAAAACATCCACTTCAAGACACAGGGGAAAAACAACAAAACCATTACCATCTTTTTGGAGTTACACATCTGCTTTACTCCTCTGTTGTCCTTTTCCTAGTTCCCCAAGCATTTTTGATGTCCCCATCGATAATACCTACATAAATGCACATGGATTTTACACAAAGCTACCAAACTACAAGGACACACTACACCACATATGGATGGAAAACACTGAGGACTACTAAAATTATCAAATTCTACCACACTACACATGTTAAACGAGGGAAATGCATTCCCAGTCTCAGCACGTCCTTGCTGCCACTGGTAGACATTTGGACTTTTCCAGCTTCACATCCTTTTTCAGTAATCCCCTGAAGCATCATCATGAAATTCACAAAGGAAGAGCCCTGTCTCTCCAGCTGTCACACTGCCATCTACGTTATCAAGAAGGAAGGATACACTATTTATGTTCGAGGATGCTTCACCTGGAATTCATCATCAGAATTATTTTAAAATCCACTAATACAAGGACTTATTTTTTATTTCCCCTCTCTCTCCCTCCCCTCTTTTTTTTTTTTTTTTTTTTGTTAATGACATAGTGAAGAATTCTTTTGATCACTGTCTTTAGAAGCTTCTCTGCAAAGCTTTTAGGATTATTTTGGAGACTAATTAACACAATCATCAGCATTGTATGAAATCCTTTGCATTGCACTTGCTCCGCATTATTATTATTATGAAGATAACTTTTTGCCAATAAGGTGCTAGCGTGCTAAACCTGTCTAGCACAAGTGAATGTTGAATTAACTTCTACAGTCTCTTCCTTCGCTTTAAGAAGACATTAACCTCAACTTACATTTGAAAGGCTGGTAACAGGAGAAGCTAAACATCACCTGTAGCACTAGACACTCCAGAGAAGCCAAGGGGATCTGAAGTCTAACGTTGTGGTAATCTCCTCTTCCCAGTACCTGCCATATTCACCTCCACCTGAACAGGACACTAACACAATAATCACTCTTCAAGAGCAATAGAGATAAGGGTTTGGGTGAGTCAGATATTAGAAAAGTTGGGGGCCTTTATCTGATTTGTGAGTGGGGCAGAGAAAAAGGACAAGTGGCATGTTAACTCAAATTCTTCATTAGACTTGCAAAATCCATTCAACGCTTACTGCTTATCACAAAAATCCTTATACTGGGACAGTCCACAGGTAGCAACTACATCCAGAAGCATAACAAACTGGCCTAGAAGATGAAAGGAACTACAAAAAGAAAAGTGGTGTTCTCCAAGAGCTTTACAAATATATATATATTTATTTATTTATATATATAAAATAAACTACCCAAATCTAATACAAAACTCTATTTGATACTTTAACTAAATAACGTCATACTCTACATTCATGAAACAGCATGACCTATACGAGTTTTTTTCTTTGTTTGTTTGTTTTTTGTTGTTTTGGGGTTTGTTTGTTTCTTTTAAAGTTGCTCTCCACATTTCAAAGTTCTGGTTGTGCTCCAACTACCCTTCCTTAAAAAACATTGGACAAACTTGCTTACTCAACATTAATGTTTTTCTCTCCATATTACAAAAATGAAAGATTTGAGAAAAACCATTACTGTTGCAATTAACACTATTCTACAATTAAACTTCTAGCTACATTGTCGAAATATCCTCTTATTATATAGATATTTCTTCCCAATTCTGTGGTATCATATAGTGAAGTAGAAAAGTGAAGTGAAAACATAATAGACTAAGTCTTTCATATTTCCTGAATTGATCCCATTTCTTAGAGACCATTTATTATTTTGGAAGTTATGAAATGTTCATTTTCAGTAGGAAAAATACCCCCAAAACATGCCCCCACAGGCCACACAATTGCAACATCTCAGTCATTCTAGGCTCAGAAAAGCTCTAAAGACTCAGCATATAGAACTTGAATAAATTTGGATACCTGTGGTCAGAAATAATTTTCTTAGTTACTAAGTTCCAACTAGTTAACGTATCATCACGGAAGACAAGTAACTAAAGTATATAGGATTAAGGTAATGAAAAATTAAATATAACTAATTTTATGATGAGCAAACAAACGAGCATATCATACCAGCACCGCGTTAGATGCACACTATGTCAAACTTAATTTCAGAAATATTAATAAGCTGGCACAGAGAAAAATCAAAACATACAATTACTAAAGAGGTGAGACAAAGCATGTTCAGATAATGCAACAGTAATACCCTAATTACCCTAAAGCATCAGTAAGGTATGAACGGTAGTATGTTAAAATGGAAAATTTATTTTCCTCAAAGGAAGTTAAATTAACCATGCCTGTCATCTGGTTTGTTTATTGTTTAATGGGAAAGGTTCATGGTTTATAAACAATTATTTATGCTAGCAAATATGTAATAGGCTATATCACATTACAACGTAAAAAAAGGAATATGATGCTTTCAAGCAAAAAACTATTCAATTTCCAGATAACACAAGATTTGAGAGCTCTCTCACTTCCAGCTGTTTTACTCAGCAAGAATCAGCTCAGTCGTCACACGCCATTGACACTAACACAGATTACCATACTTGTCATACCACTGCAATTTAATAAAACTTCCACAGCACCACTACAAAATAAAACTTCTCTAGTATGTTACACAAAGCTTAGCAAGAAAATGCAGGAGTATCTGTTTCAACTTATCTACAATTGGTGAAAAAATATTTATTTATATTATTTGCATTGTAGAATTTAATTTCTGTTGCATTGCATCTGCTTTTGGATTATTGTGCATTTGAAGTAATAAAAAAGATCTAAAATAAAATACTCTGTTTTCACATTTTCTGTTTTCACATTTATTTTTTAAATAATGCTCAACTAAAATGGCAACTCTAAGGCAAGTCAGAAAAGTCACTTAAAAGATTTTACAAATATCTGTAAAACTGAAGTTTCAAAAATAAGGTAAGCTTTATAGTTTGGACATCACTTCTTTCCATAAGAATATTTTTTAAAGGCTTTCACAAGCCTATTGGATTTAAAGCAGAAACTAACAAGATGCATTTTATTACTTCATACAAAATTCTACTTCTAATTAATAAAATATATATTAGCTGAAAACAAGAAAACTCAAATTCTAGCATCACTGTTACGTACTCAGTCAACTTGAGTTCATTTGAAAGACTCATTTTTAAGAGACCGTCGACATTGCGAGCAGTAGGAAAAAAAAAAAGATTGAAGTTACACTTACCTGCAGCCCTCTTCTTCGAAGAATACTTGAATCATCCATATCTTGACTCTGTTGATCACAAATTCCTGCTAAAGCTCACTTGCTTCTGGCTAGCTTTGCTCTCTAACTGTTAAAGAAGTCCATTATTTTCAAACTTTTTCTCCCCCCTTCACCCCTCCTCCATCCACTCTAAAAATAGGACATGGTCTTTCACTTGCCTGTCATGAAGAACTGCAGCCAGGGTTTCTGACTATTTGTACGTAATTTTGCCTGCCTCTTTTGTGACAGATTTAGCAGGTCACATTGGAAAAAATCTGGTCGACTTTCCTAAATCTTTTCAAGGTTGGATGTCTCATTCCCCTCATACACACAACTGTCTAGAAATATAATAATCCACGCCTCCACATAAGACCAAAGGGGGGAATTTAATTCAGATCCCCACACACACACTTATTTTTGCTTTATTTCCATTTACTTCAGCTACATAAGGGATCAGCAAACTACAACAGCTGCCTTCATTTACTGTTCATAATAAGCTCACAAAATCCAGGTCACATTTCCCTTAAAAAACACATGCTCACACTTAACTAAAAATCAATTCTGTAGACAGACAGGGAATGGTACTATTTAAAATTAGAAAAAAAACTCACTATGAAACAACAGAAATTTTATTTCTCCAAATTCTGAAAAATTCCTTTACTTCTCTGTATGACAAAGCAAATGTCAGACTCTTCAGATACTGTCGCACATTCTTTTGTTTCTGCTATCTCTGAGGTATGCTGGTCTCCTCATATGCAGCAGACACGGCACATTCTTTAGTTCATTGCTGAGATCTTGCGACTCATGTGCTGAAGGGTCTGGAACACATGTTGCAAGTTCTGAACATATAAGAAATCATTCATCTATTCATCACTGACAGAGCTAGAGCTGTCTTTAGCAGCCCTTCCCTCTTCGTCATCCATGGCAAAAAGGAAAAAAAAAAAAAAAAAAAAAAAAAAAAAGCACAGTTCAGCTGAGGCTTTTGCAGTCTGTCCTGCAGTTTCTGTTTGCCAGCTACCACCTTCGCACAGACAACTCCAGCAAGGTCAAAGGAGGCTTTCCCCCTTTATGTATATTATTGCAGTCACATTTTAAAATATGAGCTGTTAGCCTGTGTTGAAAAACAAATGATGATAACACTTCTAGCTATTCGAAACACCATTTCAATAAAAACCTAGTTACATTCATCACAGCATTATTTCAATTACTGAGCATCTCACAGAATCTTTGTTCTATGCACGTCCTTTCTATGTTAGAAAGGAAAAAAAGAAATATTGCAAATATAACCAACAACCTACAGCAGCAACAGCCTACAATTTCTTAGCAGAGAGCTAAAGCAACAGATTTCATCTCCTGATAAAAGCTTAGGAAGAACCTATTTATAATTTCTGAATATAAATACTGTACCTAAAAAGAACCTAAGTTCAGCCTCTAAAGGATTTCACTAGATACATAAAAGAAATCAAACTTCATGAAGAGCTGTGTTTATGAGGGGATTTCAGCCAGACATCCTGAGATGTGCAAATGCAACAAGGAGAGCCCAGACCATCGGCTGCCTACCACAGCTTGATGAAATGTTCCTGTTCCCACAGTTATGACAGCTGCAAGCCAAAAGTCTCCATAAAAGCACACAGGTTGACGGTGCTTAGAGGAATAGATATTTACATGGAAATCTTTAGCTGATCTTCACGCTAAGTGACCGAGTCACATGAGCTAAACACATCATTGTAAAGTCAGCTGAAAGCAGATACAACTCAATCCCATTCACCAGGTTTTTTCTGATCCTCTGCAGAGCCAGTGTGGTCTTTTATTGTGAGCAGCTAATAAATCCTCATCTTGCCGATACCTCCTTCCATCTGCCGTTTTAAACAACTGAATGCTGAATTAGGTCTGCAGAGTCTTTGTGAGCTCCCCAACAGGGCAGGCAGCCACACAGCGGCTGAGCAGGCAGCTCATTTGCATGGAGTATACTGTACCATATAAAAAGCAGCGCGCTACCGAAAACAACTCAATGAGCCACTTGATTTTAAAGGCACAGGATCTTCTTTGGCGAATTGAAGGGGGAAACATCATGCTGCACACAAAACTCCGTGTGCCAACTTGGGAACATGGCACCGGGAAGAAGAGCAGCATAAAAACACAGGTAAAGTTCTGGTTAAAAGCAGACTGAACCATAAGATGATCATATTTCTCCACTGCAGTATTTTTGATGGATTTTGGCGTTACTTCCTGCTCTTTGCCACCAAATAAGCTTCTTCGGAAAAGGAATCCTAACACTGTGACTTCACTTACCAGAAAATAGCATCAAACAAATTCTACTTTTACTAGAAATCCCATAGAAATGAAACATTTTGGCATGCATACCTGTATTATATGCATTTTGCCATTTATATTTAGTCTATAATACATTTTAGGAATATTTATATTAAACCACACACTAGCTGCATCATTGATTTTACCTCTTCTAAGGCCACCAGCATTAAATAACATATACTGTGAGAGGAATCAAGTAATCTTAAGAATTATGCAATACCTTTCACATGCTATTTTCCTCCTATATCAATCGCTACATGAAACGATGTAAGCCTGATAACACAATAGTATACAGTTCCAATTATTACTATAATTGAAAACATTTCCATTAGCACATATAAACCTAACCCTTCATGGATTATTTACCTTAATATTCAGGCATTGGCAATTCTCAAAATGTCTTCACAAGTGACTTATAATTGATTGAGGCTGGCACAAGTCTCAGAATACCACGAGAATCATCTGTTCTCTTCCAAATTTCAAGCTTTCTTGGGGAGAATGCTTTGAAATTGGCTGCCTGCCACACTTACCCGGTTTCTGGGGTTGAGAAGCCAATCAGAGCTACTGCAAAAAAACAGGCATGGTTTTTCCTCCAGCTTCCCTCTTTCCTTCCCTTCTTCTGAGCAAACAATCCTTATTGAAATGGCAGATCAAAAACTGTCACCAAAAAAATCCCAAATGTGATGACTACCGTTTTCTTCCCTCCTATTTAACTGTTAACGGTCATCCACTCTCCCTTCTTATTCCTTCAACAAAATCAAAAGCAATCACAAAAATGGGTGGGAGAGTACTCAGTATCAAACCAAATCAAGTGAAGGACAAGTGGGATTTAAAAGCCATTCACTGACACTGATTTTTTTTCCTCACAAAACATTACCTTTAAAAATTTATCTGACATTTTGTCAGGAGACTATTCCATCTTTTAGCACTCATTTGAGCACCTTAGGAGATCTGCTGGGTAAGTTTCCAACCAAAGATGAGAATGTATTCATATAAAAGATTTCACTATGAGATATAGTACTGAAGTATATTAAATAAACTGAAGTACATAAAATAGAATTTTATCATTTATATAAGTCATAAAACAGATTTTCCAACCGTTCTCAGATGCAGGCTGTTTATCAAAAGAAAAATTCAAGATAAGGAGTCGTGTAATCTTTGAATCCTTTAAGAATCACAGTATCTACCTTAGCATTCAACCTTGCTAAGGAAAAATGGAATTAGAAAGGGAGATGAAAAGAGGGAGACTGACGTTACCGGTGAACAAACTGATAAGCTCCTAACTCAGTTCGTCTTTCTTCCATCAAACGAAAAGAAACCTGGGGTAGACTCTGTTTTCTCCTCAGCAAGGAGAGAAGAAGAAAAGGGGAAGCATGATAGTGGATCATCTGAACATAATCTAACCAATTCCACAGCAGAGCCTTCCTAGCCTCCCGTTAAAATCCAAACTAAGGCACAGCTTTAAAAAAAAATAAAATAAATAAAAAAGTACAAAGTCCATGTAGGATGATTTACATTCTTTGAGACACTGTATAAAACAGACGTACACTTGCATTCCCCTGTTGTCCTTCAGGAAGGAAAGGCATAGTTGTGCCAAAGGCTTAATTCTCATCATTCTGTATCTTTTCAACTAATTAAGAAAAAAAGTGCTTAAAAAGAAAACAAAACTTACACATATACTTTCTACCACAGTCTGAAATAGCTGTCACGTGTCTTTCTGTATACACAGAAAGTTTTCTCCAGTGACCTTTTACATAGAGCCCCAAATAAAGTATTTGGCTGCAGCACTCTCTGAGAAGCTATTCAATCTTGACTTGAAGGCATCAAAAAATGGAAAGAGTCAGGAACTTCCAGTAAATGTGTTCCTGCAATGGTTAGCTTGATGAGTAGGGAAGGACAGCTTATAAGCTTTCCAATTCCAGAATGAATTACATGGGGCTATCAGCAATTTCCAAACAAACAAAAGGACATACTGCTCTGCACAACAGTCACGTTGTGATATTTGTTACTGTAAAAGGCTAAAAAAGCTTCACATGAACATGGCTAAAAGTTTTGGACAAATTCACTGAAGATTCATGAAGAAATGAAGAAATACAAAGAATTCTCAAAACAGAAAAACATACTGAAGTCAACCCCAAACCACAAATAGCTGCAAATATTCAGGAAAAAGATTCTGCCTTAGGCACCTGCAATGAGCTGCTATCAGAGTGAAGCTAACCCAGTGTAATCATTCTATCTCCTTATTCACGTAGAAAGCAAAAGTAGTCCTTGGTGAAGACTGCATCCTAAAAGATGAACTCTACAAAGTAACTAGGGGTAAAAGAGAGTTGAAGATTGAAAAATAGTTCTAAAAAGTGTGTGATAGATATGACAGTTCATGTAAGCCTTGAACAGACCAAAAGAACTGACATGTCATAAACGAGCGGTATGAGTATCATGGTACCGTCTCTGTACACGACGCTGATGAGACCATTACAGAAAATCATGTCAGGTCCTACATTTCAAGATGAGCATTGATAAAATGGAAAGATCTAAAACAAATGTTTTCAGGGCAGAAAACTAGATCAGAATTGGACTTCGGGAACGTTCCTTATCAGGAGCTTTACAGGAAAGTCAACAAGTATGACAAGACGTTCAAAAACATTACGAAGATGTGGAATTTTACTCCATACAGGCTAGGCAGCATCCAACCCTACCCGACATTGAAAAAAGATGAAACATCTCGTTGGACCAACCACTTTCTACTCACGTTCCAAAAGGAAAATCAAATCTATGAAGGATCCTGCATTTACATTTCAGTCAGAACCTTCACTTCACTTTACATAATATGGAGTATACTCCAAGAACCTTTCATTTCTGTTGGTAATAAGAAATCTTTTCTCCGCCATGCTGATTCAGACCTCATCCCACTGACTGCTACCAAACTCTATTACACTTCTGTCTTGTAGAAGAAGAATTTGAAAGGTTAGAACAGTTCCAGTAACTATGTCTGAAGATGACTAGAGTTTTCCGTGTTAACTTCAGTACAATCAAAGCAACAGTTCTTTCAGTTGTTCTGTAAGCCAGTGGTATTTGGGTAGCGTCAGTAAAAGATGACCAAAGGCATACCAATTTCACTGTTAGGAAAGCAGTGACCACAGAAGCTATAAAGTAGTTGCTATGTACAATGCATCTTGCAAGAAAACAATTGAGAAATTGTGAACAAGCTATTATCCTATTACTCACATTTTCTAATCACCAAACGAACTGCAAAGAAGGGAGATAATCAAGAAAGGAGCCTGCATCTCCTATATTGGAGTGTGCATATTCAGATGCACAATGAAGCATCTGTACAGAATCACACAGTTCATCTCTTAGCTGTGTTCAGTTAGTTTGTTGTATTATCTATGCTGAACATAAAGTACCTTCTATGT